ATTATTTTTTAGAATTTTTACATTTGACATGAAATTCAGCTTTTTTTCACTATATTAGGAAATTGAGTATTGCTACTAGTACAGTCCCAAATAAGACAAATCTCAAGCAATAAGAGTAAACATTTTAAGTGACAATATGTACCATGACACAACATTAAACAATGTACTGTTAGTGATTCATACAATTATTTATAGCAACAATAGTACAGTAGAAGCATTTTATTAACTCAATTTGTGTTCCACTATTCTGAAATATATAATAACAGCATTGTCACTATATACCCAATGAACAAAGTGACCGAGTGACAAAAATAATTGGATTATCTATATCAGGGGTCCTCAACCACCGGGCCAATTGGTACCGGGCCTCACCACAGAAAGAATAGATAGACTTTTTTTTGAAAATTGATTGAAGTCTCTCCTAATTACGTGCGCTCATCTGTCTTGACATATTTCCTCGTCACCAAGCGTTTTTTCCTACCTTATACAATTGCCCACATTCTCGTGGCCTGCTGGACTTTCGTAGTGACTTGGTGCACGACTCATCACACACACAATGTTTTTTTCGGAGACGCGATCAGCGTGTCATAATCGATGATAACGTAAATATGTAACAAGTCTGTAAAAAACGTAGAGCCACTTGGAGGCAGAACTCGTCTGGGAGTCTGGGGGTCGATCGAACACCTCCTGAGGTATCGATGGCACGCCCCGCCAATCCCGAGGTACTCACCGCAGACAGCCGTGCCCCGTTAAGCACCTTCTGTGCTGCACACACACACACACAGAAGCCATCCCACCAATTTGTCTCTGCATGTCAAATCAAAATAATTAAGTATTATCGATCTCAGGTTCAATTAACTTCATTAATGTGGTTCTCATTGGAGATTGGGGCGGGATGGAATAGGGGTGGGAGGGACGGAGGGACGGGAGATTACAGGATCTTATCAACTAGGAAATGGCGGGGGTGTGGGGGGCTGAGGGGGGGTATGCAGATACACTCACATTCTGCTGGATTTCTTTCATCTCAGGCCTACAGACACGACCTCAGCTTCGTCCCAACCAAACACGTCCCCCTACTGCGACTGGGGTTGACGGTCCGTCTCCTTGTGTGTCACGCAGACACACGAACGCACACAAACTAACACGGTCAAAGCTGAAGTGTAAACAGGGAGGGATGCCGTGCCTGTGTGTCTGATAGGGCTGTTAAGTGGTTATATAAGCATGATAAAGCGTTTACTAACATCAGAACATCTGAGTGCCCAGGCATTTCCTCATCACTGACACATGGTTCTGTGAATCGCAGCTTAGCAAGTGTCTTTCCTCCATCAATCCAAAGTTCTGTGTGTTCGCAGAGGTATTGGCTGTTATAGCAGGAGATTTTGGAGTTTCTAAGATGCCATAACCTGAATGAGCCCTTCCCCTGCAGATCTCCCAGAAACAACTCTGGTGTTATTGCTATTTTTTATTTTTCAAACCGGCCAAATCCGTGTTCAAACCATGTCTCCCACCCTGCTGACAATTCATCTGGAACTTTCGCTCTCTACTAATTAAAAGAGCACCTGCACGCCTGGTGCGTTTAGACCGGCCTTCTTCGGCTCCAGTGGTATCCTGCTTGTGTGTGTGTGTGTGTGTGTGTGTGTGTGTTTCTTCCAAATTTATCTGTAGCGTTTTCAACCCTTGCAGCCTGGACACAAGCCAGCAGCCTTGGGGATCATCTCTGCCTGTCCTCCGCTGTGTGTGAGCGTGGTTTGTGGCCCCCGGTCTTGATATCCGTCCAACCCCCCCCCCCCGCCGTTAAAGCCATGTTGTGCCAAGTTCTAGCTTGAGAAAGAGTGGGACAATGAGCAGACGCTCTCTTGAATCCTTTTGGGCCAGTACAGTGAGCTCATAGTTAGGAAAAAAAAACTAAGTCTGCTAGTAAGTGAACATCAGTGGTGCTCAACAACAGGGCAGTTATCGGGAGGATTGTAACTCAGAGCAGCCTCCGTTTGTTAGTGGTTAGCTCCATTACTCGGCAGCGAGAAAAGGATGCTAAACATTTGATTCCAACAGTTATCCTTGACTGTTGGCCAATTTCAACGGATCTGTTTTTTTTTAACTGGAGCATTATCAGGGAATCTTCGCGTTTTTGAGGAATTTGACTGAAACATTGATACATACACAAAAGTAGTAGTTACAATTTGAAATTGATAGGGATATGATTACAAATTGAGGTGGGATTGAATTTCAGTATATTTACAACCAGCTTTGACAGGCTGACGACACAGGAGAGTAAGGTCAAATGAAATATCTTGAAAAAATGGATACGGCACAAAACAGAAACATTGCAAGAAAGGTTTCAGTGGATGGCGACCCGCCAAAGGAAGCCTGTTTTACCGTCCCCGACCCCAGAGAATAAACATAACAGAAAGCTTGATATTTGTATTGAATGGATACATCTAAGGACAGCATTACGTCAAAAACAGTAAACTGCAATGAATTGGGTATTTATTTTACAATGATTAAAAAAAACTCAAGCGGCTGTATTTGGACTTTAACTGTCATTGCAGCCTATATTCAATGCAAGTAGCTGCATCAATTTGTTTCCACACTGCCTATTAAAGTATATTAAATGTTTCTATATTTCAACATACTGAACTCTGTCTTCTGCTTCATGCTCCACGTATGTGGGTGCAACCTACATGCAGAGGTTCCATGCGGCACGCACTAGTCTCCGCGATCCTCCTGCATCCGTCTCTGCACAAATCACACATTTGCAAGTACACACAAGCACAAACATGTTCTTATAACACACAAAGGCAGCTAATTCAAAGCGGAGCGTACATGTTTCGTGTTTTAAAGGAGATTTCACATTGATGTTTGGCCTTGATGAGAGCGGCGGGCTGCTGTGTTTCCTCAGCCGCAGCATTGTTCTCTTAAACAGCTGTCGTTTTGGCTGATTCAGAACAGATGGCATGTACATGTGGGTCGGCTCGGCTGCAAGGGTGTGCGGGCGGGTGGATGCGTCTCCGCGGCGGAGTGGGGGAGAGAAATGGGGATGCTCTGAGAGAGGGTGTGTGTGTGTCTGTGTGTGCGTGTTGTAAATGCATAAATATAAAAATATGTAGCTCAAACGCATCCATTTTTTTATTGGATAGATGTACTTTATTACAATAAAAGATAAACACTAGAACGTGTGCCAAGTAAATAAAGGTTTTGTGACCCTGCACATTTTTAAATTGCACAATACAGCATTTATTACATAAGATAACACGTTTGAAGTGTTGAAAGTGAATCCTTTTTATGTTAGACTGAGCACTGGAGCCGACTGCACGTTCAACAGAGAAGTTCCTGAGAATGCCTAGGGGCAAAGAGTTGTTAAGACTACAGCAGTTACAGTACCATCGGTGTGTGTGTGTGTGTGTGTGATGTGTGATGGGAAATCTGTGTCTCTGTGCATCTGTTTGTCCCACGGTGTATCATCGCGAATGGCAACCGCTAGCCTGACAATGACAGAGACTGTCTGTGTTGCTGCTGATGTAGTACTGACACATACACATGCTGAGTGGGAGATGGCAGTGTGCAAAAGCTTTAGTGTGTTGTTGTATGATGTGGCTTGCAGGTGGTGTAGGTATTATGTGGAAGCCCGTAACCCAGTTACCCTGCACATCATTTTTTCTTTTTGGCGTTTATAAGGAATTGAACTCTCACAAATATAATACAATGATCATTTTCATTTGTTGAGACCTTGCTTATCTTTAAAAGCGGTAGATTGATTATGCGCGTGCTTCCGTGCCACACCCGTCCCACTTACCGGCCCACTCTGTGTTTACATACCAGCTCAGATGAGCGATGTTCTGTGGCAGAAAGGAATGCCGGGCACCAGCGTTCAGACAAACGCTTCTATTCTTTGCCAGTGTGGTTGCTAAAACAAGAGCTTTGTGTATGCGTGTTGTGTGCGCTGCCATCGATATCCAGAAATCCAGCCTTAATCACAAAGTGTGAGCACGCAGCGTTTCTCGGATGTAGTTTTTTCCGTTTGATAGACTTATTAACTAAATAAAACATTCATGGATGTACAAAGAGGCGAGACTGCGATTTGTCTTAATACATATTTTCTCGATATGATTTCCATCGTATTATTCTTAAACGAGAGGGATTTGAATATAAATTGAAAGCCTCAAGCCCTCTCCCGGAGCTAAACTGTAAATAATAACTCTAAACTTTTTCTAATCTTTGGTAATTGAAGCAAATGGGTTTTTGCGGGGAGAGATTTGTTGCAGGCAAACGTACATTCATTCATTTTTATTTACGAGGAGGCGAGGGCAGAGCAGTGTAATGAGTGGAAATGCATGCTTAATTTAAACGGCGAGTGTGTCTGTTAGGGAATGCATTAGAGTCTGCAGAAGAAGCGTAAGACATATTAATTGACAGACAGGAACCGCTGTCTCCGAGGTTGATACAAGTAATTTATTACTTCAGAAACGAATGCCACCACCAGAATGTGCTTCATTAATTTCAAATTTAGTTTTAATTTCAAGCTGTTGCCCCTTGAGAAGAATAAGGTGGCAAGTTCTGCGTAAAGCAACGTTTTTCCATCTTTCTCTTTTTTCCATCTCCATCTCTCTTTCTCTCCACTGGTCTCTGATTTTCTGTAGTACAGAACAAAGACCCGGGAGGAGGGAGAAGCAGAGGGCGTGGCAACTTGATTCAAATTTGAAAAGGCTGTAAATGTAAAAGGGTGAATATAGAACAGAATCATTAACAGAAGTGTTTGCTCTGTTTCCTCTTGAAAAAGTTATCCGCTTGGTGTAGAAACAGGAATACAGAGTTGAGAGTCTCCATCATTAGATAAGCTGTCAATGTGGTTCTAACAAATCTCTCTCCCTCTCTCTCTTTGTTCTTTTCTCCGCCTGAGCAGCATACGTCCCTGAAGATGAGAAGGAAGCAGCGCTGTTGGATGAGGACCTGGATGGAGATGACTCAGCTCAGGAAGGGGAAGAGCCTGCCTCCAAGTTCCTATGTCAGGAAAAAGACTTCTTTCTCAAGGACAGGCCAGGATCCACAGGCTTTCATGATTCCCCAAACCCTGCTGACTATTCTGGTCAAGAACTGGACAGTGAGTCTCACCTGAGTGAATCCAGTGACAGAATGTCTGATTTTGAGATATCCTCTCTTAAAAACGAGGATGATATCCTCTTATCGAAAGACCCAACAAATGCCCTTTCCATTTCTTCCTCCTCAGTCATGATGGATGTTGCCAATACTGCCGGCCCAGTAAGTGGAGACGAGGCCATATTAGCCACTACAGGGTCTGTGGCTGACAGCCTGGAAAAGATGAAGGCCATTTATACCTCCTTCCTGACCAACTCGTATTGGTCCACACTGAATCTCAACTTGAGCCAGCCGCCTGCAGAAAAGCCCCCTCGCAGTCACAGCAGCAGCAGTAGCAGCAGCAGCAGCAGCAGCTGTGGAAGTGGAGGCTATGACTGGCACCAGACAGCTATGGCCAAAACGCTCCAGCAGGCCTCACAGAACCACCACAACAGACTGGGCATGGTTCAACATCCCACAGTAGCTGTATCCGCCGCATCTACGGAACCCAGCCTCTTTAGTACCGTCCAGCTGTACCGGCAGAGCTCCAAGCTCTATGGCTCTATATTCACCGGAGCCAGCAAGTTCCGCTGTAAGGACTGTAGTGGGGCATATGACACCCTAGTGGGGCTCACCGTGCACATGAACGAGACAGGCCACTACCGCGATGATAACCATGAGCCGGATGGTGAGGGTACTAAACGTTGGTCTAAACCAAGAAAGCGGTCCTTGCTAGAGATGGAGGGGAAGGAAGACGCACAGAAAGTTCTCAAGTGCATGTACTGTGGGCACTCCTTTGAATCCCTGCAGGACCTAAGTGTCCACATGATTAAGACAAAACACTACCAGAAAGTGCCTCTGAAAGAGCCTGTTACACCAGTGGCCGCTAAGATTATTTCCTCGGCTCGAAAGAGAGTCCCCATGGACCTTGACATCCCAAGCTCCCCAGACTCTAATGGAGAAACCACACCCAAACCAACCTCCTTCAATGACTCCAATGATATACTCCAGAAAGGTACCAATCCTTACATCACACCTAACAACCGCTATGGACACCAGAACGGTGCCAGCTATGCCTGGCAGTTTGAATCCAGGAAGTCCCAGATCCTCAAATGCATGGAGTGTGGTAGCTCTCATGACACACTACAAGAGCTCACTGCTCATATGATGGTGACTGGACACTTTATCAAAGTCACCAACTCTGCTATTAAGAAAGGCAAGCCCATTATCGAATCGTCCACCCCAACCCCCAAACCCAATTTAACAGCTGAAGAAAAGTTCCAGTCCGTTCCCTTGGCTGCCACAACATTCTCCCCTCCACCTGCTCCAGTTCCTCCTCCAACCAGCATTTCCCCTAGTGCCATGGTTGTGGAGATTAAAAAGGAAGAGAAGGAGGAGGAATGCACGAAAGAGTCCATCATCAACAATGGTAATCTAAAGGAGAAAAAGACAGGATGTGAGGAGGAGGCTGAGGTGAAGTTTGATATTTCTTCAAAATACTCTTATCTTACTGAGGAAGATCTGGAGGAAAGTCCAAAAGGTGGTCTTGACATCCTCAAGTCCTTGGAGAACACAGTCACCTCAGCCATAAACAAAGCCCAGAATGGAGCTCCAAGTTGGGGTGGATATCCAAGTATCCATGCTGCTTACCAGCTGCCAAACATAATGAAGCTCTCGCTTGGCAACACTGGGAAGAGCTCTTCCCTCAAATACATGTTCCAAGGAGGGGAGATTCTCTCTCCTACTGGTAAGGTGCAGCCCCTAATCTCCCCTCCTAGTCGCCAGAACTCCCCTCTACCCAAAAACAACTTCCATGCGATGGAGGAACTGGTCAAGAAAGTGTCAGAGAAAGTGGTCAAGGTAGAGCAAAAAAATAGAGAGCCCAGTGGTGTTGTTAGGGGATCTCCACTGAGACGTACCACGCCGTCACCCTGCAACAGCGAGACAGGGGACTCAGCACGAGGAGAGTCGCCCAAAGACAATAGAGTAGGCAGCTGTAAAACTCCAGAGAATACAAGTGGGGCGGAAAAAGCTGTAGGTGATGGGAGTGGAGCCAATCACAGAGATTCAAATGGCGATATTTCTATAAAGGAGTCTGTGGAGAATGGAGTGGAGTACACTGCTGTGACATCCCCCCTGCCGGCCTCTCTGTGTGGCAGTACAGCTATCATCACAGACCATCCTCCTCCAGAACAGCCATTCGTCAACCCCCTCAGTGCACTGCAATCAGTAATGAACGTCCACCTGGGGAAGGCCGCTAAGCCCGCCCTGCCCTCCCTTGACCCCATGAGCATGCTGTTCAAGATGAGCAACAGTCTGGCAGAGAAAGCAGCAGTGGCTGCTTCCACCGCACCAGCACAGACCAAAAAGACCAGCAATGACCGCTTAGACCGCTACTTCTACCAGCAACATCTAAACAACGACCAACCCATAGACCTAACTAAAGGAAAAAATGCAGACAAAAACAACAGTGGTGGCTCTTTGAGCTCAACGGCTCTCTCATCCACCACCACCACTCCGTCTTCAATTTCTCCCTCCTCCGCTGTCACTATGACCAAAGCCTCAGCTGCAGTAGCTTCCTTTATGTCCAGCTCCCCTTTGAGGGAAAACGCATTGTCAGACATCTCCGACATGTTGAGGAACCTGACGGAAAGTCAAGCTGTCTCCAAGTCCTCCACACCGACCAGCCTGTCCGAGCGCTCAGACGTTGAAGGTATCACTCAAGAGGAAATAGAGGATATTTCTCCAGCCCAGAAACGGAAAGGCCGGCAGTCCAATTGGAACCCTCAACACCTCCTAATCTTACAAGCCCAGTTTGCCGCCAGTCTCAGACAAACAAGTGATGGAAAATACATGATGTCAGACCTGAGCCCACAGGAAAGAATGCACATCTCCCGTTTCACTGGCCTCTCAATGACCACAATATCCCACTGGTTGGCTAATGTCAAGTACCAGCTAAGGAGAACCGGTGGCACCAAGTTCTTGAAGAACTTGGATTCAGGTCACCCAGTGTTCTTCTGCAGCGACTGCGCCTCTCAGATCCGCTCACCGTCCACCTACGTCAGCCACTTGGAATCCCACTTGGGCTTCCGTCTGAGAGACCTGGCCAAGCTTTCTGGGGAGCAGCTGCTCAGCCAGATTTCGCAACAACATCATCAACAACGCTACACCAAAGGACTGTCTGAAAAGCTGCTCTCAAATCTTAACCCATCCAGCCACCCTTTACCCTCCTCTCTACCCATTTCCCTGGCCTCATCCTTGACCACTTCTCTGCCCTCAACTGAATCCCCGTCACCCTCTCCCGACGACGACGACAGCGGGGCTGTGTACCAATGCAAGCTCTGCAACCGGACTTTTGCGAGCAAGCATGCGGTCAAGCTTCACCTCAGCAAGACTCATGGAAAGTCCCCCGAGGACCATCTCATGTACGTGTGTGAGCCGGAGAAACAGTAGCACCTGCTGGGGACGATGCTGTGTTCTTTTGTAATGGCTGACTCTTTCTTGCTCTGTTTCTCTTAAGCTTTTCAAAGACAATTCTTTTGAAGAAAAGAAAGGATTATTAACGTGATGGAACTGCACAAAGATGCCATACAACTACTGTTTTAGGTTTTGGCACATGGTTTCACATTTTTTTTGTTGTAGCAGTCAATGTTTTTTTTCTTTTCTTGCTGAGTAAGAGTCTCACTCTTGCACAAGACACTCAATTTTAGTGATCCTGCTTTGACGGGAATAGAGTAATTTTTTTTTCTTCGAATTGTGTCATTGAGAAAATAAAGTATATGAAGGTTTTAAAAAAAAGATTCTAAAATGAAGTGGCGTGTATTTTGAAACTTGTATAAATGAAATTAAGTTCCTTTATATTTTGACATCACTGGGATGTGATAAGCTGCATGCATAAATGAAACTGTTTAGTTAAACATTTTATAACTAAATCTGGGTGCACTTTTCATGATTTACTTTTGTTTTTGATTTTTTATTCCACTCTTCCGCTCGTTCTCTCTCTCCTTGTTTTGCTTTGTGCTGGAGTCAGCATTTAGATTTTAACCCTCTGAGTACGTCAAAGCACTTCTACACCTAAGATCCAAAAACAATTGAATCAAGATTTGAGAATGGGAATTATTGAAGCTATTGTGAGAATTGGATTAACAATGTACATTTTGTCTACAATGCCTGTTTCTGAGATTAACAGTATGTTGATTCTAATCTCTAGACATAAAGAGATCCTCTATTCAGAGCAAGGTTTTCATATTGAGCTTAATATTTGTTTAAGATATGTTTGCCAGACTTGACACAAGCATTGTAGCTGTGTGGTGAAAAAATAAGAAAAAGAAATAAATCTGCAGTCATTTACTTTGGTCGATCAGGGACCTATATTAATTCAGGTCTGTGTAAAATATGTACATAAACACATTAACTAATTCCTGTCTAAATTATGCATCATTTTTATATTTTTTAATTTAAACGGATTGTGACTGGTCTGCTGGTGCACAGTATATGAAGACATGAATAAAATTGTTTTGCACAATAATTTTCTAAATGTGTTATTTAATGAAACAATAAGAAAAAAAGATACTGTAGCAAAAAGAGGTGAATCTTTTTATTCCCAACTCGTGCTCAAAGGGTTAAAGACTCTTTTTACCAGACACTACTCTACGCTGTATGAACACTAAAAAAAGATATTACAGGTTGTACAAAAAAGATGTTAGTTTATAAAGATATTTCACATGTAAACTGTTATTTATAAGCACTCTTGGTTGTTTCATATTGTTGAATGCCTTTTCGATTGGTCCTATTTTTTGTTCTGTCTAATTACTCTGCCACGATTCCACATTGCAGCTTTATCTTTTTGGGACATGAAAGGTAACCATGGTTACACTTATCTCCTGAGTGACAAGTTCTGCTACAATTTTGGCAGTTCATCTGCTGAAGTAACTGACAGCTGCCAGGGTAGAGAAATAATTAAAAAAAATAATCCTTATGTGTAAAATATCGGCATGTAAACAGCACAGATACTGTAATGCATTCTGTGCCGTGAGTCTTTTTATTTTGTTTTTTTCGTTTTCTGTTGTTGTTCTTGACAATGAACCCCCCATTATATGACTTCATATAACCTTGTTTTCTACTGCAGCATTAAAAAAAAGAAACTGTTTTTTGCAATTCTATGTGTATGCATCGTGTGTGTCATGGCTATCAATTATGTGTGTGCTGTGCAGTCCCTAATGAGCACATTAGACTGGGAGTGTGTCAACGTCTGTCTGTGACGAGCCGCATACTAGTTTACAGTGAGTGGCAGCAGCAGGGGCCGTGTGGGAGAAAACACACACACACACACATATATCTAGACATGCAAACAGACACCATCATTTTGGGGCTTTTACCAGTAGCCTCCTCGGTTTTCTTGGTGACATATTCTAAGGCGTACATTGAATTAATAAGACTGAGTCTGCAATAAAAGGTCTAAGAAACAGTAAACAATATCAGATGACAAAAAGGTAAATTATCGGTTTACGGGAGTAGTGGGGGACTAAAAAAAATAAATGAGCCTTTCTCTTTCCATACAATTATGGAATTATGAGGCCAAATACACTCAGATAAAAAGGGATGCCCTTCCATATGTCCAGCACAATAATTATCTTCAACTTTCATTTTAGACCATTTTTTCCGCGAGGCAAGACACCTGGCAGTCGTGTTCGTTTAGCATTCAATGGATGCGACAATAATGCTGACAAGATGAGCAGGTTCTTGCGAGTGTTTATTTATTCATCATTTTTCCTTTTCGGAGCCGTGATTAAGCAGAAATCCCGTCACTATCAATTTGAGGTCTGCTGCACAACAGTGTGAAAGAAAACGCCGATGGGACAAAGAGTTAAGGAAGCATTATTATCGGTATATATGTTCACTGCAGATAAGGGAATGACAACACAGAGGTGGGTATGAAGAACAAGCACCTCATAGCATTAACATACGGACAAATCTTTGCACTACATAAATAAGTACAAAGCACACATGATGAATCACAGTGCGAGAGCGCAATGCAATCCTGAGATCCATCGCCGTTTCTGCTCCGTTCAGACAAACCAAGCAGACCCCCACCCCCCCAAAAAGGGTACGTACAGGCAACTAGACATACCTGCACTCAACACAAACACTCTGAATCATACAGAGCGAGGTCAACAAATTATCTTCTCTTCCTTACACACACAAAACTACACAAAAAGCCTACACACACATACATCCTCAGTAGCCAGCTAGAAGGACTTCATCCGCAGTGACAAGGTGCCACCGTGTGTGAAAATGTCAGCCTTCAACGGCGCAGCCTGAAGTCTAGCACCGTGTTTAAGGCTCTCATTAGCCTCAAAGAAAATATGCGTGAAATTGAAGTGTAAGAAAGCCCTTTTCTCTCACCCTGCTGTCACATCCAACGAGCAGAAGCAAGGCGCTTATTAAGGTTTAAAACTAGCATGCAGGAGACAATGGGTACCACCACTGGGATGTGCGCAAACACACAGTCATATGTGGGAAAACATGTTCACAACCACGTACTAAATGCAATCGCAATGCATTAAACCCTGTTAGTAAAAGCCGGTGAAGTAAAGTGATGGGTAAACGCTGACCTCCATTATGAACACTGAAAAGGGGCAAACATTGGTGTAAATTGTAATCTTGATTGAACAACGTGGTCACTGGTGGGAACGGAAACTGCTCTTTATTAATCCAGGTCCCGGAGTTCCATGTGGGAAACAATTCTGCTGTGCTGTGGCTGCAGGACAGGAAACAAGTAGTTACTATATACAATGCATCATACGTGAAAGAATATTAGCCATAACCCATGTAATTGATTGACACTAATCTGAATTATTCTAACATTAACTTGACTGTGGATTGACTACACATTTTAATAAACAACTAGTTTATTTTAACTGTAGAAAAAATATACAGCTGCAATACCTAAAACTGAGAAACATTGGCTGCTTTAAGGTTTTCAAATGCAGTGATTTAGCACTTTCAATTCATTTTTATTGCATTGTAAATATTTATTATTATATTAAGTTTTTAGCTGTTAGTTTAAAAAATCAAGCAAAGATGGGAACTTGTGCTTGGATCACTCATTTTTATGTTGTTATGCTTGCTGCACAACTATTATCCATATTTCATTTTTACTACAACATTTTATGTATTTCAATGACAATTTAATTGACATGATGAGGGGACTTTTCCTGAAGCGTCTCAATCAGGTCATAATACCAAATACCTGAAAAACTAGACACATTACCATTAAATCAACGATTTTAACTATAATGGTCAACGCGGTCCCCATGAAAAGCGTGAAACATCATGGAAGCATTTTCATTGGGCGCTAGCTGCTGTAAAAGGAATGCACGGCCTGAAGCCAGCCACACCAGTGAACATTAACATCTTAATAGTGGTTTTGGGAAATGGTGCTACGTGTCAGCATGCCACACCCTCATTGTAGCCCCACACAATGCAGCCGTCAGAGTCCCGCAGGAACATACCGAGAGAGCCTGCACAACAGTAAGCTGCTCGCATGCATTTCAGGAAGGTGTGCTGCGGATCCCGATAGCTGTATCTATAGCAGCAGTGTGAAAGGAAGGGTGGGGAATACAAGCTTGGAGGATCCACCACTCACAATAGAATCACATGGCATAGCACAAATAAAGCTGGGGTACAAGCAAACACATTCCCAAAACACAAGGACGCACAGGGAGAACGTCCTGTCCATCCGCTTGCTTTTGATTTCTTCACTGTTCCCATTTCTTCTTTCCCCTGTTCTTTATTTCACTCTGGCTCACCCTCTTGCAAACACATCACTGCCTCACATGCTATATTATTTGTTTTCCCATGAAACATGATATATAGGGAAATTGGTAATATTCCATGCCCACAAATGGCACTTTTTCAGAGAAGGCCATAATAGATGCATTTGGCCGATGGTGTGCAGAAATATTTTTTATGAGCAAGCGTTTAAAACAATCTACTTTGTTGATGATGGCAAACCCTTCGTGAAAAGTGATATATTATATTTTCAACTAATATCTGGGTTCAAAAGTAAACAACTTGTGCAAACTATGCATCAAGTGAAAACAGCATACATATTTACAGTAAGAAACCAAAGTGAACTGGTTTGGATCTAGAACATCAAAGAAGCGTTCTGCGAGTCCATAAAATCATACTCAGATTAGCCAACATTATTTTACCTGATTTACTTGGCTTACATCACATAGATAGGCTATGTAACTTCAGTTACACAATAAACTTAAAATCTTTTTCTAAACCAAACCCCCAAACTTTGAAGGAAATACACAAGATTTTTAAGTGAATGAAGAATTCAACAACAGTAAACCATCTTGATGGAGTGATTTGCAATAAGGTTAGAAAACATTGGATTCAGCAACATCTTTTGAAATAACATGTTTTAACATATTGACTTGGTTGTCAAACAATGCCATATTTACGGTGGCCCTGAAGTGCCAATCACAACGGCAAATAGGAAAACACAACGATATTAACTTCTTACGGAAAGGGGAGGGCCTATCTAGCAGAGGACGGACCCCTGATTGAACAGACAGACCGTCTGTCTTTTAACCCTCTCAATCCGAAGCCTTTCACCGGCGCCTGTAAGGGAGGGGTTGAAGTGAGCGCAGCAGGAGAGCTGCACAAGAAAGTCACGGAGACATGTTGTAAATAAAAGTAAATAAAAGGGGGGGGAGGTGGCGCGGACGCTACGGTCGACGTGGGGGGCCGGGGGCCGATTCCTTGGCGTGAGGAATTGTGGCGGGAATGCGTGACAGAGCCCTGTTTCATTTCCTGTTAAAATTTAATTCAATAAATTTTATTTTGTATAGCCCAAAATTGCAAATTACAAATTTTCCTTAGATGGCTTGTGCATTAATAAAATGTGGATTATTGTAGAAAGAGAGCGTGAGAGAGGAGCTTGGTGTGTCCTAAGAAGTCCCCCAGCAGTCTAAGCCTATAGCAGCTTAACTAAGGTCTTGTCCGGGCTAACCTGAGCCAGGCCTAACTATAAGCAAAATCAAAAAGGAACGTTTTAAGCTTTATCTTAAAAGAACTGACTGAGTCTGCCCACCGAACTGAAAGTGGAAGCTGGTTCCACAAAAGAGGAGCTTGATAACTGAAGGCTCTGGCTCCCATCCTACTTTTTAAAACTCTAGGAACAACAAGTAACCCAACATCTATGGAGGACAGCTGCCTTGTAGGCAATACGGTGTTACAAGCTCTTTAAGATAAGATGGTGACTCAACAGCAAGTGCCTTGTAAGGGGAGGAGAAGTACCTTAAATTCTATTCTTGATTTAACAGGGAGCCTGTTCAGAAAAGTTAAGACAGGAGTAATATGATCCCTTTTCTTAGTTCTTGATAATACACGTGTTGCAGCATTCTGAATCAAGTGGAGAGGCTAAAGAGATTTGCAAGAGCAGCCTGATAACAAAGAATTATAGTAATCCAGTCTAGAAGTAACAAACGCATGAATTCATTTTTCTGCATCACTTTGAGACAGGAAGTTCCTGATTTTCGATATATTACAAGATGGAAAAAGGCTTCCTTGAAGTCTTCTTTATATGAGATTTGAAGGCCATATCCTGGTCGAAGAGAACTCCAAGATTCTTGACGGTGCTGCTGGGTACCAGAGCAATTCCATCCATAAAAACTGAATCACGTGACAGCTGACTTCAAGGTGCTCTGGGTCTATCAAGATAACATCTGTTTTTTCTGAGTTTAGCATCAGGAAGTTTCCGGTCATCCAAGTTTTGATGTTGAAGACATTCTTGAAGTCTAACAAGCTGGTTGGTCTCTTCTGGTTTGACCGACAGATACAGTTGTGTATCGTCTGCATAACAATGGAAGCTTGGTCCGATTCAAGTAGATCATTCGTAATTTTCACCAGTGCTGTTTCTGTGCTATGATGCACTGGAAATAATGACTGGAAATCCTTGAACAATGCATTATTTTGTAGAAAGTCACATAATTGATTTGCGACAGATTCATCAAGGATCTTAGTGAGGAAGGGAAGATTAGAGATAGGTCTGTAGTTAGCAAACACCTCTGGAGCAAGAGTAGGTTTCTTAAGAGGTTTGATTACATCTACAACAATCAACAAAGACAGATTCCTAATATCTA